TGATATTCTTTGAGCCTCTGTGACTCCTTGTTTTTTTAAGTTATTTTTTATTTCGTCCAGAGTACAGAGTGAGAGGTCTGGGCTTCTTACCACACCCTTTGAGGAGTTCAAGGAAGTGTGGGGGTAGGCCTTTATTTTAAGCTTGGCAAAACTGTTTTGATTCAGTAAGGTATTTGCTGAAGTTTTATTTGAAACTTCTACCAAAATGGTTTTGTTCTTTAGTTTTTTTTATTGAAGACATTTTTATTAGCGATTTCATTGTTTTTTCCACAATGAATGGAGACAGTTTGGTGATAGGTGTATCCTCTATTGATTCCAAGACAATAAATCTAGGAAAATGATTTTGGTCGAGATCATTGTCAGACTCGGTTTCTGAGTATAAGCTCTCCGAACTGTCTTCTATATGGGGTCTTTTATTTTTATTTATAGCCATTGGTTTTTTTTTTTTTTTTCACCTTCCTTGCTCCCCACCCTCCTCGGAGCCCATCTGTGGGAGATGTTAGGGGGGAAACCCATTCGCCCTATTATCCCAGGGATACAAGGAAAGGTATACTCACACTAGTAAGTGGCTGCTAGCATTTTGGATTTAACTTTGTTTTCACGACCCGTTTTTTATGAAAATGTCCGTTAAAAACCCTATCTGTAACGGCTTTTTCTTACTAGTAGATTGACCCTTGCCACCGCCTTCTAATACTTACTTATAATCTATCACTTGTTTGTGGTAAAAGACCAGACCGGTTTTGTATAACCAGTGCTTGACGTGACTATGATTGATCGGATCGGGCCTCTCCGACCACCCGTCTAGCCCAGGTAAGGGCCAAAGTAATGTGTTGCCTGTCCTTTTGCATCTGGACCTTACTTATTAATCTATCTCTTGTTTGTGGTAAAAAGACCAGACATATCAAGGGCATTTGTATAACACAGGAAACGAAAAAGTCAACCCCAGCAATTGATTTTTAGATAGATGGGTTTTAATGCGGGTAAGTATTAGTGTGAGTCATCTTGAACATTATATGACTAGATATTATAAAGAATTGCTAAACAAGTTCAGGATCGGGCCTCTCCGACCAAGGTGGAAGTCTAGCCCAGGAACCTTTCAAGGGCCAAAGTGTAATAGTAAATTGTTGCATTACCATGTCCTTTTTTGCATCTGGACCATGGCTTGCTCAATCACCAGGATCCTATAAAGGACTCTGGTTTCCCCAGACGACAACCAGCTAAGGTAGAAAAAATGTCCAAAGATTAAAAAACTGTTTTCTGAGCACCTTTTTTTAAGGTTGCAAAAGTTTCCTTTAAACAAATCTTTAATTTGCTTAAAATAAACAAAAAGTGATGCTTTTATCATATTCAATCCAGCTTGCTTTTCAAAGGTCTTGAGACAAATTATTCTTTAATGTATTTTTATAATATTGCTTTGTACACACTGTTCTGGAAGGAAAAAAACAAATTTGTTCATTTCTGTTAATGTTTATTTTTAGAGAAATATAATACTTTCACAATGGCAGTCAAAACATTGTAACCATTAAATAATGATGGGGAATATATGTCTCCCAAATATTTCTGTAAAGAGTATATGAGAATGAAATGAACAAATATTTTCCAAGTAATTCTTTAAAATTAACAAATGAAGAACATATATAGTACTGAAAAGTTATTGACATTGACCTAAGAAATAAAAATAAAAAAAAAGAAAAATTGGCGTTTTGACCATTAGATTTTGAAAAACGAGTTGGGCCAAGAACTTTTCAGTTCTCTTAATAAATAATAATATTTTCATATTAAGGAAAGTAATAATTACAATGGTCAAATTTATTTTAAAAAGAAAAATGTCAAAACAGTAAAACAGGATCAATGATAAGCCAATTTCTTGTTGGCTGCTGTCTCAGTCTTTACATAAAGCATCTGCTGTTTCTGATAAAAATCACATCCTTATATTGTGGGGAAAGAACTTGGCATCTTTCTAATCTTCACAGTTGTTTTGAGTAGCTGAGTGGAAATTATTTTTAGGAGCTTCCTTAAGGCTTTATATCAATAAGGGAGATTCCTAGTTAATAAACTCACTGAGAATTTTGCAAACCTGGGCTGGATTTAATAAAACACTTGATGATGATAATAACAACGACAAAAATTTCTATTTAACACTTAATATTCTTTATGACTCTAAAAGGAGCAGAACATAATAATTAAAATCTGGATGTTTGCTTTTGTCAGGGAATAATATTAAGTCAGCTAGTATCATAGACTACTACTGCTACAAGGAGTTTGTTTCTTATTGGATTCTCTCCACTTGTGGCCTTGTACCATACTCAGCTTGTATTATTTTCCACTGGCACCAATGGTTAGCATTTAAGCTTAGGTAAAAAATAAAATTTTGAATGTTCTTTTTAGGGCATCCCACTCCAATTGAAAGGCTGATGCAACACAATCTTTCTACCATTATTTTTCCTTACTAAGCTTTCTTTCAAGTTTAGTAAATATCTAAATACTTAAGTTAGTAATAATGGAAGCTACACTGAAGGTTTGAAATTTAGCAATAGAGTATGGAATGTGAAACAGACTCGGGATCCTATATGGAAACATAACTATCAGTCATTTAACTACCAACATAACATTATTTAGTAAGAATATCCTGATATTTTGTCTAAATCAGCATAATTTGAGTAGCAGCAGTTTCAATGGAAAATCTAATAAGCAAAGGCGACATGCCATTGAACTCATTTAGAAGTGAAATAAGAAAATAAAGCTGAACAGAAAATAGAAAAGGAGAGATATACTCGAATTGAGAGTATACGACATATTTAAAAAAAAATAACTCAAATATAAAATTCAAGAGCATTTATTACAATTTTATTAATTGATAAATCTCATTCTTAAGGTCTCTTTTTTTTTACAGTACTTAATTATTACTCATTATCAAGCAATTCATTATTTTAATGAAGTGATGTGTTATTTATCCAATAACTTAAGACTGACATCCATAAGCAGCTGAGTAAATACTCTTAATCATAATGGATTTTACAAATATACAAATGTATTGATTTCCAAAGATTTCAGATGTAAAAGATTTACCCAAGACTTAAAAAGACAATGAAAAAATAGATAATTCACTGACTAAACAAAATGATTAAAAAAACATAAAAATTGATGACTTGAGAAAGCTCTAGTTCACCTTCAAAACAAAACTGCTTCTTAGAGAACCTTTTTTGCCTTCCATCAGTATGGCTGGTGCTAACCTTCAGGAGAGTAACTCCTTGCACCTTCTTAGACTAACATTTTCTACTGACATGAAGTGGAATGATTATATTGAATCAATTACTGAGCCTTCTGCCAGCAATTGATTCAGTTGTTCACTGTGTTCTGCTAGATAATTTTTCTTGCCAGATTGTATCTTACAATCTTATAAGTCGATCATTCATCCATGTATTGAATATTGCTGTTATATTTGGTCTAATGATTCTGCTATGTATTTAGAGTTTCTTGATAAAATTGAAAGAAGAATCTGCAATGTTATTGGTCTTGGCCTGGCATCAGTCACTTTCCTACCACCATAACGTAGTTTCCTTGTGCCTTTTCTATAAAGACTTTCATGATAATTGTTCATATGAGCTTTCTTCTTTGGTAACTCAACTTTATGAATTGAAGCGCAGTACTAGATTGGCAATTAGGTTTCATTATTTTACAGTACAAATTGCTAGATGTAACTATAGTTTCTTCTCTCACTCTTCTCATTTGTGAAACTCTCTTCTGGCTTTTTGCTTCACAATCAATTTTGATCTTCTAAACTTTAAATACAATGTTAATCATCATCTGTCTCCTTAATTCTGGTTCTTTTATTATCCTGTCTCCTCAATGTTTTTGTTTTTTCTTAAATTCTTTCACACTCAGTAACTCCTTGAATCTTAATGGCCTTATATCCTTGCTTGGGTGAACTCATTAAAAAAAACCTATAAAAATAGAACTTATGAAGATAAAGAAAATAGTCTCAAAACATTTTATCAATTCTACAAACATTAATTAAAAAAAACAAAAAACTTAAGTTGAGAATTTGTAATACTTCCAAGGGTGGGGAAGAAAGAGAAACTTACAGAATCCAGCTTATTATAGAGTTGGTCATTTCTTTTCCAGTTTTGACTTTTTTCTAGTATTACTTTTCTGCCATAAGGGATATGATGGAAGTAGAGTGGAAAGGTCAATGGATGGAGTATAAATAGATATTTTATTTTCAAAAAAAGTAGTTGTCTTTAATTCAAGTATATTCAGGCATAAGAAGATATATGGTGAATTACAAATACTCTTACTTACATGCAGAACAAAAACAAAGAGAAAATATTGTAAGCCAAATAAAAAAGTGGTGTGGTGAAAAAAAAAATCAGCAGGAAAATGGAGTGTTAAACTTTAACAATCCAAAAATAGTAGAGAGTGAAAGGAAAGAAAACAGCTTAACCTGATAGTGAATAAAAATATCAACAGAGGATTTATAAAAATGTATTCTAGCTACTGGGAGGTGATGTTTAAGTCTCCAAAGACTCATTGTTAATTGGGAGTTGCCAATAAATAATAGAATGTATTTATATTTTGTTTCTCACTCATGAAAATTCTCATCAAACTAACATTGGCAATTAGTTTTTTTTAATTTTATTTTACCTTATTTAAAAGATTTTCCTATATATAGGAATATGTGGTTTTGTGCACACATTATTGATAACAACAAATCAGATCACAACAACAAATAATTGAAAGAACATTTAATGGATTGTGCAAAGAAATTAAACAGGTTTGAGGAAAAAGTATCAAATGTCAAGGATATTTTTAAGGATATTTCCCAGATAAAAATAAAACTACTCAATTTGCAGTTGATCTTACCTACAATGGCAGAGGAAATGGCAAACCAACAGACTAAAACTAATACAATTTTGGTGGGAATTTTATCCACTTTTATTTTCAAACTAACTGAAACACAAGTAAAACCATGGAAAACACCCTGTTTTTTAGATACTTACAGGTTGAACCAAAACATTATTCTTGCCATAGAGAAGAGTATTCTTGGAATTTTGGTGCAGTGATTCAACATATTCCTTAGCTGAAATATGTTGCCCTTTCATACTTTCTTCACTGCTCGAACTTGTGTGTCGTCGAACTTGCTGATAAAATGAAAGAAAAATACAGCTGTATTAGAAACAGAGTAAGATTAAAATAAATCCAATATAGTTAAGATATTTAAATCATTCATCTCTGCTGCATTAATTTGTGTATTATCAACATTAACAATTCTAAAAATGATAAATTGATTCTGATAAGACTTTTTGTCAGGATTTTAATTATTTTTTCTTGTCAACAATAACCAGTCACTTATTTTAATTTATCAAAGAATTTGCAAAGAAATTTCAGCCATAGCTCATGTCATAGACATGAATTAATCTTGAAGGCATATTTTTTTTTGATTGTTAAAGTGAAATTTAAAACTTAAGCAAAACTACTCCACAGATAAAAAATTTAATTTATACTTTCTGTGATAATTTCAGTTTTGAGAAAGAGAAAAAAATGTTATGTTCTGAAAGAAAGAGAAAACTAAGTGGTTTTCCTATTAAATAGCAAGAAACTTTTTTTTTCAAAATAACATATCCTTTCAGAATGTAGGCAATCATGGTCCTTTACAGCTTCCTTTTCTTTAATGTTGGTAAAATGTGAATTATGTCTATTCTTGAGGAAGAGGGCTTTCTATTGCCTTCTCCATAGTTTTAAATTCAGAGTTGTCCTTCTAAAGTGAATGCCCCTACCAAGGTTATAGAGTCAAGTGTCCTATTATTTTACTCTTAGCAGCAGAGAAAAGGTTTCAAGCCTTCCCACAAGAGTATTAGTGTGAAATAATGACAACAGCCCTGGCTGGAGTTTAAACTTTACTTGCAGATTCCATTTTTGCACTGATAACATCACCCCCACCATACTTATAAAATTAACTCACACATTATCCCAGTATGTGGAATATCTTAACTTGACTAAATAAACAATGTAAGCTAGCAAACTATACATGCATATATAGAGATTAAATAATTAATAACTTCATTAAAAAACATTTATATTAAGAGAAAAAGAGTTTTGTCTGAGAATCAGTACTAACTTGAAGTCCTGGTCTCTTGGGAGAGCCGGGCCCAGCCAAATGATGGGTGGCACCACTGTGAATGCGGTGTCTTTGGACCAATTCATCAGCAGGAGGATCAGTCCAAAAGTGATCTGTGGTTTTCATTTTAGTATAGTCCAAGGCACATGGCCCAACTAGAATAAAATGAAAAAGAACAATTTTTTGACTAACATTTTGAAAAAATTAAAACCCTACAGTCCACTGGTGTCATAACTGCAAAACAACATACAGTTAATGAGATAAACAGAAAACATTTAGTTATTTACAGTTGAACAGAATTAATGTTTTTATCTCATGATATCTCAGCTGATCTTTTGCTTAAATTCAAAAGTTTTAAATATACAATTGAAATGCAAATATATTTAAAAATGAAAGCATTTTCACTGATATTTGATTAATTTGTTCATATACTTTCTGTATTTTGACTGAATTGTTTTTTATGTTTTATCAACCTTATACTTTCTGTAGTACAATGGAAGTGAAATGTGGTTGATTAATAAACATAATTAGTGCTTTTGATCAGCATAAATCTATCTGTCCAGAAATTGAATAAATAGTTACAGGACTTATAAACAATAAGAGATCCCTCCCCAAAACTATGGGAGGGTGGGTATGAGTAGAAGATAGGGTGAGAAAGAAATAGCTAGTAAATAGCCCCGCCCCGTAAGAGAATGTAGAACAAATACCTTCTAAAGTAGACTTATTCCTTGAATGGATGGGGGTGGGGGGAGAGGTCCCGAACTTAGCTCCCCCCCACCCGTCCACCAAAAAAAATATTTTATACCATTCTTGGTTATGTTTCTCCCATTTTTCATGGCGAAACAACAACAAAATATAATCCACTGCACAGAAAAGGTGTTTTGTTTTCTCTTCTCTTCCAGTGTCCAATCATAAGAAGGACATAGACAAATTGAAATAACTGGTAAGAGATTAAAATAACTATTTTCAGTGTTTGTAGTTTTCCCAAAGAGCATTTACATCAGTGCTTGACAAGTGGAATCAGTTTTATTAGCTATATTCATTGAATTCCCCACAGGTTCATTTTCAATATGAGACAAGTCAGCATTTTCTTCTCAAATTCATTTCACAACCAGATTGATTCTCAAGCAAATACAAAGCACAGAGCTTTTGAGAATATCACCTTCCATTACAAATTTTACATTATCTTTGCCTGTTGAGAATTTAAAATACCAAATGGCTGTATAATGAACTATGAAATGTTGAAAAGTTTTTTATCCCAAAATCTGATCAAATTACTGAATGCCAGAATTTTGAATCTCTTCTTGATCAGGTCAAGAACTTTTCAGCACCTCCTTTAAATATCTTTATGCTTGTGATCACTTCTGTAATTTGATCTTTTCTGTACACATTGCTTGCATGTTTGAACTTGCAACTATGCATATGACTAACCTGTTGATGTGGAGTGTAACATGAGAGCCACTGATAGAATTACTATTGTGTGAAAGGAAATCTACTGTGCACTTGTGAATATCCAGAGAAAACACTTGAGCCTCAAGTGTGAATAGTCTCAAAGAAATGCATCTGATAATCTACTGGAATAAAAAAAATGGTAAGTGCACTAGTCGTGTAAGAGTTGCCAGTTTTATCTGAAGATAAAATCTCCTTAGAATTCTACAACAGGTATTGACACAGGATTGTCAATCTGAGACAGATTCTTCAGTTTTTATTCATTGTTATTTTCCCTCATTATATCATAACATTTAAAGTTATTCTTTTCATAGCATACATTACTTTTATGGTTACTACATGCATTTACAATTTGTTTATTCATTTTTTAAGAACTCTTTACAAAAGAATACATTATTTATAACCTATGCCATAATCTATTAATTAAAAAAGGCTGGTTTGAAATTTTTAAAAATGCCTGTAACTAAAAATAAAAATCTAATAATATTTTCAGAATAATTTTTGAAGAATAAATTTTGGGGGAAAATATTTCTTAGTAATTCAAATAAAAACCATGTTTTTGTCTGACTCCATGGTCTAAATTTCATTAAATATTAAAATAACTTGAAGTTACTTCACTTTACTGCTTGCATGGTAATTTCTTTTTAAAAATTGTTTGAGGGAAAATGATGATTGGCAGTTGGCCAATGAATCACTGGCACTAATTCAACAATGGTTACTTTTTATGTTTAATCTGGAAAATTATGATTGGCAGTTGGGCAATGAATACCTGAAGCTAATGATGCAGTAGGTGCAAGCATGTGTTGGGAATGGTTAGCAAAATTAAAAAAAGGAGATGCTGAGCTGTCAAAGATAAAGCATAGAAACTGATGAAATGGAAGAATGTTTGAAAGAGGATGTAGCAAAAACAACATGTGAGAGCAGAACTTGTTTAAATGCGTCATTGGAGGTGATAAGACCCTCCCCCAGGCTAGATAGCCAACTTAGTGTTACTAATATAGGCCAACAAATGTTCAAGGAGCTTGGATAGGAAGTTTTTCAACATGGAACATAATCATAAGACTTTTCACATTTAGACATTTTTTTTTTAATGGCTCTGTTCAACACTCCTTGTTTGAACAACAGAGTCACAAGTTCAAGTTTGCAAACAATTCATGAAATCAATATCAAAATTGAAAAATAGTCTAAAATCATAGAAAGTCATGAAAAATACTTTGATGAATGAATAATGAGTCTACAAATTTAGATGAAGAAAAGATTCTCAAAAATTTGCTCGAAACATTTGCATTAGCCTTGTATTTTTGTATCAAGTTTTTGACATTGCAATTAAAATCTGCAGTTTACTCCTATCATAAAAAGTAAATTTCATTTGATTTTTATCAGAATGAAAGTAACTTTGATGTTGCACTGCAGAAATAAAACAACAGATACATAGGAGGAATGAATTTAACAAATAAAATGAATAAAAGTTAATGACTTTATTGATAAATTTAGTGATTACAGGAGGGAGGGGGTTGAAAAGTATTGATTTTAAAATGCTGAGGTAAATAAGATCAAATCTTATTTAAATTGTAAAAGAAAAACTAAAATCTGAAGCTGTAAAATATTGACTTCATAGAATCAGTAAAATTGGATAATGATCAGTTTTCATGTTTAATTATTAAAAATAGTAAAAAAATCATGGCACTCCATTGCTTCCTTTCCATAAATTAACTGCCATCCAAGATGACAGTGTAGGAAATGAAAGCTATGGAAATTATTGTTATCTCCAAACCCCCCAAGAGCATTAGTGTGAAAGTGAACACAACAAATACAGGTTGAACTTTAGCTCACTAATTCCATATCAATGCCTGTTATGTTGTCCACACATATATTCCAATATTACCTTGGCAAAAAAAGAATATGACATTTGCCTTTATTAATTAACAATACTTACCAAGTAGGGACGCAAGGATTGGTCCATCCACTGGGTCAGCAATGAGTGCATCTGCTTCATAGTATTTGCTGCAAGTTAATAGCACAATAAAAATAAAATAGAATTTGTCTTTTATTCAGAAATTAATTTCATAATTAGACACAAAAATAAAGAAAAAGGGACTAAATCAACAGAAAAAAAGTAGCATTCAGTTATGAACATGGAACCATAAATTAAGAAGTGAACATTTAGGAAATCACTATTAATAACACAAATGAAACATGTTTTTTACTTTTTATTCCATCTTATGATTCATTAAGTGGCAGGTTTTTTGCATTAATCAGTGGAACTCATAGCTGATTTTGTACAGACTTTATAGTTTCTATTTTAACATGAAATCAGTAAGATACCATCTGTATTTCTGTTGATGATTCCTGAATAAGCAAAATAAAATTGATAAGTTTTATTATAAATATTTTATAGCAGTTCAACTAGAGTGTGTATGAGTATGTGCTTGCAACATTGTATACTTTCACTCATTTGTAAATAGTTTTATATAATTACATTTCAAGGCAGAAAAAGACTTGACATAAATTGGTAATTGAAAGAATAAAAGTAAAACAGTAGCATTAATCTATATTGGGAAATATATAAAGAAAATGTAAAGAGAGAGCATATTTAAAATGCTTTTAGGTATTTTGTGAACAGGGTCAAAAATTAGAAAATCCTCCCAATGAAGCCATTTTATATTAAGATCGTATTATTGTTTTTAAACAGTTTTTTTTAGGCTTAATATTTTATTTTATTCAACAATATTTGTAGATGCTTTGTGAAGTAGATTTGCATGTGAAGAGAGAAAAAAGTAAAGATATAAAACTTACAAATGTTAAAATTGCCTTATAAGATAATCCCCACAATTGATATTGATACAAATTATTAACCCTTTATTAACCCTTACGCCCCTTTTTTTAAATAATTGCTCTAGCCGGTACCATAGTAATTTTAATTTTAATAATGAATACGCTTATAAAAATGCGTAAATTTCAAGAATTAGTTATTCCCCAAAACATTTTGCTTGAAGATGGAACAGAGCTTGGTACTTTAATTCAATTTAGTTCAAATAATTATATTGAAGTTTTTGGATCTTGTTTTGAAACATGAGAACTCTTATGTAGTGATGGAATCATATTTTTTTAATATATAAATATATATATATATATATATATATATATATATATATATATATATATATATATATGTATATATATAATGAATAAACAAAATGAATGAGAAAATAAGTTAGGCAAGAAAGAGTGAGGAAATATTAAAACACAAGATTTCTGAGGCAAGATGATGACAGACACTTCTATGGTGCTGGTCAAGCAATAGTCACCAAACTTCAATCCTGTTTGCAAAGCATAACAGTTGTGGATACAAACAAGCAGAATAATAATAATAATAATAATAATACAAGTAAAAATTTCATTTCATTTATTTTTAGTATATTTTTAAGGCAAAGATAAGAGTCAGTTGATATGTTAATTTGAAAAATGAGCAAACAAACTCATCTTATTTTAAATACACATACACCATTTCCCTGGAATTTAAAGTCAACAGAAAGGCTTTTCAGGAATCTCCCAAAGGAGCTATAATTTTCTATATTAAACACTTGTATACTTTCCATTTCCTTTAATTGATAGTATTTTTACCAAAAATAATTATAAATGAAAAGCAATATCATTCAGTTTAACAAAAACTAGCAGAAAGAAATATGAAATATTTAGCATAATTTTAAAACTACTAAAGATTTACACTAGGATGTCTTCCTTTTTTTTTTTTTTATAATTAAATAAATTGGGATGAAGATTCAATATTGTTAAACAAAAGAGATATTATTCTCATCAACTTTTATACAGCATGATTTCAAAAAAAACAAACAAACAAAAAACAAATCCTTTTTTTGCATACTGTTTAACCTCTTGTGACATGAAATAGTTGGATTTTATTTGTATATATACAATTCAGTTTTGTTTTATTATTACATATTCAAAATTCTCTTCCAGAGATTTCATTGGAAACAACAAAGAATGTGACTTAAATGTCTGTTTTCTTGGATTTTATAAAGTTGATTAGATATGGTAAAATAATACAGCAGAAAAATCAAAGGATATTCTGGCCAGGAACAATAATAAAATGCATTTATTTATTTTTTTCTTTAATCTCTTGATACATTTAATAGAATGTCTCAAGATATTAAGAAGATACAAAATTAAAAAAGGAGCTGTGAAAACAGTGAAAGATGAAAGTGTGATAGAATATGATTCTAGAAACCAGTGCCAGAATAAATAAATGCATATTCTTCAGAAGAAAAGTATTTAAATTTTAACAGCTTGTAAAAAGAACAAAAAGCTACTCAAAAATGACAGTGAAAGAATAATTTGATAAATGATGTAATCTATTAATTACAAATACGACAGAAAGCACCAGCTCACAAAAAGAGAATTCTTTTAAAACCTTCATTGTGTATCATTTATTCAACAAAGTAAAAACTAAGACTGATCATGAAAGGTAAAACCTGTTGGCTGTTTGCTGAAATAAATGTAGAACTATAGTTTCTCTGCAATGATTTTGTTTTGGGGGGTCAAAGTCTGTGAATAATCAGTTCTTAAGTGAATCATAGTGCAAAGGTCATATCAAATAAGATAGTTGACATTAACATATTAGAAGGAGGCTTTATGGTACAAGATATAAAGGAATCATTTTTTTTCAACTAAAAATATTTATTGTGCATGGTAAGTGAGTGAAAATAAGATGATGATTATAAACTTTTATATTTCTCTATAAAGCTGTGTTATGTTGTGATCAATGATAAAGAAATTTATACGTTTATTCATTTCTAACCTTTTATTATTGCATTCAAGAATTTTTTCACACTGATATTTTTAGTTGTTTTTTAAAGCATAATGTTTTTTATTTATACACTTACTAATAATTTTTTCCTGATATGGTTTAAGGTTATGTACATAATTGCAAGTAACAACAAGAAATATTTAACATGAAATGAAATGAATTATTTAATAAAATAGGATAAAGTGACCGAGTCAAAATACTATACAAAGTTGAATCAAAATGTTTGTAGCCTGACATAATGATTAGCTGAATTTTGATCTCAAATTTTCACTTTATAATGTTCAAAAATATGTGATTAAATTGAATGACTAAAAGTGCATTGAAAAGGAAAGAGATTATGTTAAAAATAAATATTTGTTAAGTGAAATGATTTTCATATTAAGTTACAAACTTACTGATGTACCTGTGTATATTTTTAATAATTTGTTATTTGCCAAACTTTTATACCATGAAATACTCAAATAACTAAAAAGCACAAACTTGAAAGTTTCTCATCTATGTGAGCTTGCAGTGAAGAGATTTAAGGGGTTTAAAGCTTGGAATAAAATTCAAAACCTTTTAGCCTTATATTCTTTTATGTTTGCAACAAGTACTGATTAATGCTCAAAGAGACAGTTTTAGTGTAATGTTCATGAAACCAAACACATATTTTAGACAACTTACAGCCACCAAATCTTAAGAATAACTAAATGAATTTTTTCTTTTCTTAATCATTTCACCCCAAGCAATAAAAGGCAATAAGAGCCACTGAGATGTAAGGTATTACTGAATGTGAGAAAGTGTTATTCAGAAGAAAGGACAATAAAAGAACCGGAATGAAAGAGGCAGAAGATGATGTTGCATTTAAATTTTTGAAGATCATAGTTGACAACAAAGCAAGAAGCCAGAAGAGAGTTCCACAAGTGAAATGTGTAAGGGAAGAAGCTATTAGCATAGAACTTATGGTTACAACTAGCAATTTCAACAGTGAAATTATGTAACCTAGTTGCCAATCTAGTACTGCACTTAAATTCTTGAAACTGAAGAACTGAAGTGGAAAGCTCATATGAATAGTTACCATGAAAATATCCATAAAAATGGCACAGGAATGCTATGTTATTGCTGTGCGAATGTGACTGAAACTGGGATGTTTTGTTTTCTTTAATTTAATACGCTGTATATTTTACAAATAAAGTATTTTTATCATATGTTGTCGTGTCGTCTTGTGTTGTTCTATGGCTGCATATTGTTCGTTTTCTCACTGCATTCACCAATGTCCAGAATTGGAGAATTCCCCTCCCATCGTTCTTTTCATCAATCATACATTGAACCCTTGGATACTCTTGTTTATTTATTTTTTTTTTTATTTTCTTGTTGCGTCCTGGCTATCGTAGTCCCAACGAAACCCTGGATGTAACAGTGGAAATCAGGTAAAGATGCTCCTGATGATTCAAGAGTAGAATAGGAGAAAATCTATGAGAAAAGCATTCTGATTCATCACAGTAGCTAACCACACTTCAAATTGATTGAAAAGGGAAGGAAAACTTACCCCTATTTAAAACATTGTTATGGAGTTGCCAGTAGTCCCAAGTACAAAAATGGCGAGAGGCTCTATATATATATATATATATATATATATATATATATATATGCTTCATTCTGTAAGTGAATAGAAACTTAGGCTCATTGAGGACATGCTTGCAACTATTACAAGTGGACACAAAGAGAAACAAAAACAGTGGCACAATTTTCAATGGGAAGATTAAAGATTTCACTCCAAGGGATGTGAAAGAGAAAATCACAAAATGAATCGTAGTTGCTATGCCGGTAACAGAAAGGAGTTTTGTGATTCAGTCCTAACGAAAGAGTCAAAAGTGATATCAATAGCTACAACATGATCCAAATTGTCAAAAGGAAAGGATGGTGATGTACAACAAGAGCCAGGAGAGGAAGTAAAGGATAAATTAGATAAAGAAGCACATTGATCAGAAGTATTAGGAAAATGAGTAGAGAAATCTAGTATTTAACTATTTATAGAGTGAGCAACAGAAAAATTAAAAGTCCGAATATCGGCAACATCAATAGTATTAGTAATTAGTAATAACCAGTTGACATGATGAGCATTAAAATTGCCAAACACAGATATGTTCACAGATGAATGTAGAGAGATTTTTTATACTTCCATATTTTGTCTAACATGCTACAGTCCTGAGAAGGGGCACAATAAAGAGATAGTTAATAGTTCAATAGTGATTGTTAAAAGCACATAAAAGATTCATCTGGGGATTCAAGAGACAATTCCTTTTCCACTGAGAGATTTTCTTAAACACATGTACCTGAGAAAACCTGAAATAGGGAATTCAGTGGTAGAGATAGATAAGTTTAAGTTAGTTTCCCAAAGCACTAAGACATCTGGAGAGCATTTCAAGGGAAACATTCTACACTACAGAAATTGGTATGAATACCACAAATATTGGAGAAAGAAAGGTTGCATGACTTCAGTGATCTTTTGCACACTTCTGTTATTTATAATGGTTGCAGTCATAAAAATTTTAAGATAAAAAGGCTAAAATAACTGTTACTGTCTATTGAATAAGGCAATATAAACTGGCCAGAGGTGGCTGAGACTACATCATAATGTGGCCTCAGTATAGCATATCCAGAGATGCTTGCAAGACTTGACACTGCAAAAACCCTAATATTATGTGACTGTTGACTAGAGAATCCTCTCTAAGCATTACCAAAGAGATTGGGCACCATTTGGAATAAATGCTATTAACTTCCTGAAATAATTGAATGTTATTATTTTTAACTAAGTATTTAAAAAAAATAAAATGAATGAATTTTAGTATAAATTAGAAAATGAATGAGTTTTATCTCTCTCTCTTATATATATATATATATATATAAAATAAAAGGCTGTTTAAAAATATTGAAACAATGTAAGCAAATTATTGAGATTAAAATCAACTATTTCCACTGCATGGATTCTAATAACATTTTACAATTTCAATTCTAAAAAAATAAATTAACAGAAAGTCTGGAAATATTCACCTGTTATTCTGCACAAGATAATCCAATATTTTGGCAAGTTGCTTTTCAAATATAGCAATTCTTAACCACAGGTACTTAGGACTGTAAGAAGGGAGAGTTTTCTTGGGTTGAGCTTTTCCACTATCCAGGGACTTTCTGCAAAGAGAAGAGGAAACAAAATTCTTTAAGCAATGACCATAAATGGTGAAGAAAATGAAACCAGGAAGAGTCAATAAATCAATAAAATCCGAAACATATTCAAAATGTGAAAATCTATTATAGATTCTGAAATATTTTAGGAAGTTGAAAGCTTGTAATGTGTGGAACACTGAGTAAGCTTGCCAGTGTAATATTTTAGTATAAAATAAAGTAGTCTGTTTAAGAAAAAGATTATTCCAATCTTGATTACAATGAATATGTGAAAGAAGATGTTGAAAAATTCTCGACCCAATCTACTTCTCAAAAGGTGACCAAATGACCAAACATAGATCTGTTTTTTTTTGGTTTTTTTTAAATATTTCTTGCTCGGTTAGAGAACTTTTTAGTACCTGTTGTATTTAGGTGATAGAGGAAACAATTTGTATACACACACCTAATGTATATTAACTCATTAAGTGAATGGTGATGCTATTATAAAAACATTCTGAGTGCAAATCTATTTGAGATTGAATGATTATCACACTGAAAGTGGCCCAACCATGTCTGATGAAAATATTTGTTATAATTGGGATGCAACAATATATCAGATACCAATCAAAATGTTGGTTATTTTGCTGAATCAAAGCAAGTTATGATTTCTAATAATGAGAAAAAATATCAGAATATTATTTAAATTCATTCTGTGTCAAAGAAAAAAGGTGATTCTTAAGTTAGGAATGAAATTTCTGTGATCCAATAAAGATAACCAAGTATAAAAACTTGGTTATTTGGCAACAAAAAAAAAAAGAGAAAGAAAAATGAAAAAATGCTGATATGACCAGTAATTGTAAGATTTTGTTTGCGGCTCCTAGCATTTGCCTGAAGAAGAAATGTATATTGAATATATATTTTAAAACCTCCAGTGTCCTTGCTGTTTCAGAGGTAGAAGCATGCAGGACCTACAGCCACACAGAGGATAATAACTGGTAATAACAACAATAGTGCTGCTGGTAATAGTAAATTAGATAAATGGTATTACCTACCAACTCCTTAACATTTTTTTTTTAATAATTTCAGCCCAAGCAAGGTAATAAAACCACTAAGATACAAAGAGTTACAGAGTGTGAAAGAATTTTAGAAAAAAACATTAAGGAAAGGGGACAATAAAAGAACAGGATTTAAGGAGTCAGAAGATGACAATTGACATTGCATTTAAATTTTGGAAACACAAAATTGACTGGAAAGTCAGTAGAAGAAAAGTAGACAAGTGCAAAGTGTGAAAGAAGAACTTCTGTTTACATCTAGCAATTTCAGCTGTAAAAGGATGAGATCTAGCTACCAATCAAATACTGCACGTAAATTCATAAAGTCGAGATACCAAGGAGGAAAGTTCATCAAAAAAAATCTACCATGAAAATATTTATAGAAATGGTACAGAGTAGCTATGTTATGGAGGTGGGAAAGTGACTGAAGCTGAAATGCCAGGTCAGGGCCTATAACATTGCAGATTCTTTAGATGTTATCAATAATCTCTAGATACATAGCAGAAGCACTAACCAGATATGGCAGCAATATTCAATGTATAGACAAATGGTCAACTTATAAAGGTGTAAGATAGATTTTGGTGAACAAGGATAGGGCTCTGGGGGGGACACCCAATTTAGTGTAAGAAGATCTAATGGCCATTCAAGACAATTTTCATTTTGCAATTAGATAAAAAAGATTGAATAAGATCAAAAATTTGGCCAGAAATACAATAACCTTACAATTTGTGAAGAACAGCATGCCAAACCCTAATTGCTTTTGAGATATCCAAAGGAACAGCCACAGTGTCATCATTCTTTTCTAAAAATACTTTTTCATTAAGAACCATTAATACATCAGCATTGACAGAGAGAAGCAATAGCCGTATTGTCTGAAAGACAATCCAGTGAGGTGAGATGCTTAACCAATCCAGAGTTGATTAAAGCATTTAGTACTTTGCTTTAAAAAAAAAAAAAAAAAAAAAGAGGTAGAAAACTAATTTGATTGTTTTGTTTGATGATCAAGTAGTCTTATCTGGTTTTCAATATCACCTTCTACCATCATGAATGTTCTTCAAACCAACTGTTAGTTTTACTTGCTTATTAGCAGTGCACCATTGTAAAAGTCTATGTTTATTGTAGAATCCAATTCTAACAACTTATCAGACATCTAAAGGAATTTCTTCATTTAACACCAATTGCTATCTACACTTCAATTTACGCAGCAATATAAAAAGACAGAAATTGAAATGCTATATAAAAAATCTAGAACAGTAAACGCCTTAAAACTCACCCTGGATTCTAAAACTTGAAAGTATAAAAATTAGACATCACTATTTGAAATGAAACCTACTCTTAACCAAAGAATTAAGACAGGTAAATAAATTTATTACAGCCAATAAACACTGAAATCTAGATTGTACAAAGGCATTTGATAGGGTATAACAGGGACTTCAAACACACAACCGGTTTCTGCAGTCCCCCAGGAAAACATTTTTGAGACTGATATTTTCCTCAAATTTTAATAAGTTTAATAAATTTGTTCTTTGCCCTTTCCATACTTTTGGCATAGCAGTATTGAACTTAACCTGCCCACCAATTGCAAGCAGACAATCAGTTTTAAGGTCTGTTGTCGTTCCTCTCCAATGAAAAGGAAGAAAAGTTTATCTCCCCAACAACAGGTATTCTTTATGTGATAGTATAAATGTACTTTGTGACAATGTCTCATTCATTTTTTTTTAATTATATAAAAAGAAATACATTTAACAACTCATATTAGGGAAAGTGGAAATAATTATTGAATTTTCGTATACATTATAAATTTTTTTTTTATATAGCAGTGAAAAGGAATAAATGAATACAATATGGGAACCAGTGACATAGAGAGGTAGAGAAAAACAACAATAACAAAAAATTGTAATATAAGCCCAGATAAAAAAATTGGTTACTGAGACATTAGGTTTATAAGTCCCCAAAATTCCCTCACAATAATGGAGGGAGCATATAATGAGGAAAGGCAGCTTAGGGAATTTAACACTCACAGGGCATGTTGAAGACAAAAGTAGCAAGAGAAAAAAGTGAGTGACCTACTTAAAAAGGTTTGAGTAAATGGATGGTAGAACAAGTACCACAAAGACAGTTTATAAAGAAGCAACAAAACAAAAATTTGTGGAGAGACATGATCACCCACATCCTGAAGAGACATAGCTGAAAGAGAGTGCACCTTATATAGTAAAACTATATTAAGCAACCTTCTCAGAAAAGTTAGTTCTTCATAGGAAAAGAAACATGAGCAAAAGCTGCATATACAACATCTCATACAGTTGTAGATTAAACATAAAGGAAACCATTTACCCTCTAAAGTTTTGACATAAGGAACAGGAGAAAGCCATAATCTGAGAATTAGCTAACTAAATAAAGATAAGCAAAACATATATGTGACAGAAAAAAAAGGGAAGGTGGAAATAGGTTTTGGAATGAAGTTAAAATAATAGACATAGGACAGTGATATCCATAAGATGAAGGGAGTTACAAGAGTAATTTTAACATCATATAGAAAACAGTAGTCAGGAGAACTAATTTTAGCAGCTAAGATCAGTCATATATATATATATATATATATATATATGAATGAATAAAAAGAGACAACAGGAAAAACTATAGTTAGCCAATGTGTTTTGTCAACAGACTTTATCAAGGCAATCATTACCTTGATAAAGTCCCTTAGAGGACAAAACATTTAGTTAGTCATTTTCTCTCTACTACAGATACACTCCATCTGAGAATATATATATATATATATATATATAAAAGAGGGATCAATCAAGGGAAAAATGTCAACAGTTCTGGTATTGTGAATCGTGTTTTTCTTAATGCTCTATTCAGCAGCAATTTTATCAAGGAAAAGCCAAATTCCTTGATAAAATTATATAAAATTAATATGAATCATTAACAGATGATGTGCTTTAGTCGTGAGAAAAAAAGAAGAGAGGTAAAGATAATAAGTGGCATCTAAAAGCATGAATTTGTGGAATGAAAAATATTAGATTAAAAACACCAAAAGATGAACATAAAAACTAGATGGAATAATGCAAATACTTTGCTTTAGAATTTCAGAAATGAGGATAGCTGAAGCCATTGATAAAATGTGCAAAAGATAATAAAGATAATTGAAGATAATAAGTTGAAACAAATGAAAAGAATTAAAGATCAAAGGAATATAAGAATTAAAGCAAATGATCAATTATCATACAAGCTTCTTGTCAATTTTTTTTTATTTCAAATAGCAGAAAGTGCATTATTTGGACTGTACACTAATTGCAAAGTAAGCTTTAAAATATTTTCATCATACAAATCTGACGTGATCAAATTCAAAATTAAATAGGTAAATGTTCCTCACATCCTGAATCAAAATTCATTATTTCAAATGCTCTTTTTTTAATGTAATAATACTGCAAATAATTTAAACCATTTTTAATAGTTACCAGTTTTCACACATTGTAGATAAAGAAAAAAAACTTAAAGTAAATAGTATAAGTAGCAAAAGGTTAAAAACAACTTCAAACATTACATTGTTTTATGCAAACTTCAATAACTGCCTCAAGATATGTACATTATAGTAAATAAAAAAAATTGGCTCATAATCATGTTATTTTTCTATTAAAGCAAAAATATTTTTATATAAAATAAGCCTCCAAGATTTTATTTTACAATATTGTGTTTTTTTTTTATATTGAATACTTTAACTCAAAAATATAGTATTTCTTAAAACTATATTAACACAGATACTTATGATTTAAAATGAATTTTTAAAAATGAAAAATCTTTCTTGAAGCTTTTATTTTCGTTATAATTTCAAGCTAATTGATTAAATTTAATATTTCCAATAAGCAAAATACTTTTTCCTGCATGTCAAAACTAATTTAAATTGACTGAAAGGAGTTTTGTTTTGTAATTGGTAAACATTGGTGATTTTAGTGCTATTTTTAGCCAGTC